AAAATTTAGCAACAAGCGACTTCGTGCTCCCCATCTCTCTTTCACCTTCCATTTCCTCCCTAGTTTTCTCAGTCATCTATTAAAAAGTAATCGAGAAAGGTCAATGGGGGACGCCAAGGAGTTCTTTTCGATGGAAAAATCGAAATGATGTAAGCTAAAACCTGCAGTTTAATGATCACATTTTTCACTTCAACTTTCGATATTTCAGACAAAGTATATACTCAAAGCAACTGTTACAAACGGAAACGGAAGTGCGTGATGCCGAGCTCAGACGATCAGCTATCGCCATGGCATTTCCGCTGAAGAAAGTGTGGACACCGAATACAGGGATGGCGGAGCGTTCTCATTTTAGTCTTGCTTACTCTACCTCTCTTGACATTATTTCCTCATGAACGGTAAATATAGCGTCTCTTCGAGTAAAATGATTCTCTTAATCGCTTGGCATTTCCAAACCAACATAGAATTCTCTGAAAGGTTTGAATAGGACTTTCCGCTGAAAATCTGTTGAAATTTCAGACTGCTGGGCTAAAGGTTCAACTGAGAGGGGGACATTGGGGGGTTCTGAACACCGCAATATCGCAAAAAATTTCGGCAAATATCGCAATATAGCGAAGACCGCCACACCTCAATAACAAGTCGAAACTGGACGTCATACTGAAACCAGTACTCTATATGTCAAGTTTAAAACATTACTAACACGGGATAACAATAAGAAATTTGTTAATGAACGTCAAGTCAGGTCATTTTAGATTTAGACAAAATAAGTAACATCCATTGGCGTGTTGGCCAACAATTATGGAGGATAATTTTTAATACCGTCCAAAATGCTGAAAAACCGCATTCCGCAGGTTCGGAGAATACTGCAATACCGCAATTCGAGATTAAAATTACCGAATACCGCAATAAAAATTGTCCAATACCGCAACACAATGTCCCCCTCAACTGAAGATCATAGCTTACTAACCTGAGCATGGCTGTGCTTCGCAGTTTAGTACAAGAACCAGAACGAACACCAACAACGCTTTCGACAGGAAACGAAGAATCATCGCACTAGAATTGGACCTTGCATGAACAGCTCGACTTCTCCCTGCTTGGAATGAAGAAAGCGAACATCGAGAGTCGGTCAAAATTGAGTTCTAGGTAACGATTATTAACTACATCTTTTACTGATTTCAATCACAATTCAGAACACAAAAGGGCAACATCGCTAAAGGTTTCCGGCTGATTTGCGTGAATTCCATGCCACTTCATACGTGAATCAATTACTAGAACTGAAGCTAGAAATCCAGATAAGCTCTTTAGAGGACAGTTATATAGCGGATTACAAAGTTCTTCTAGCCTACCTGTTTAGTCTGTCAGTCCCGGGAATTCAGTGTCAACCCAGAAAATCAGATTACCGCCTTTTACACTTATATTGGCATTAGACCAGGGGAACTGAATACCTTTTTGCATGGCGGAAGTTGAAGGCTGACATATGACTCACAGTTCCGGCGTAACTCTAACCCTTCGTGGTGTTCATGACCTTGCCACACGCAAACTCACGACATGAACTGGCTCAACTCCAACTGCTAATGTAGATTTATCACGTACACACTTAAAAACATTTGTAACTGGCAAAACCACCCAAGTCATTAGTCATACTCTCCCAAGCTACCTATATGAGCCTCCCGGCCGGAAACATTTGGTGGGGGGTGTGCGGCCAGCTTCCCAAAACCCTTACCAAAATCTTCGATTTTCCACCCATTTATGACCTGATCAAAAATTTCATACCCTATTTATGACCGTTACGGCTGGCACAGCTGCCCTAAACATAATTTATGAAGGGCTTTTGTTGATGGTCTTATCAATAAGGATGAAAAACGACCTGTCTGCTTTCTTGGCTAACGTATTATCTCCTCTTGCAGGTAACTCGAACTTCACAGTGAAGAACTCAACTGACTTCGCCTCCACTATCGCCAGTGAAGAGATCCAGGACCACGAGATCATGGTGTCATTCGACATAGAGTCACTGTTTACCAACGTACCGATCGAGGGTGCCGTACAAGCCGCGCTACAAAAAATGGAGAACGACGCAGGCCTGGCTGATCGCACGACACTTACACCAGTTCAAATCGCGGACCTTTTGGGGACCGTTCATTTTTTACGAGGGAGGGGGGCTGGTGGGGTTTGGGAAGCAC